TGGTGCACGGCGAAGATGCGTTGACTACCGACCGATGGCCAAAAACGCTTGGCGGGGTAAAGAATGCTCTCTAGCTCTGGACGAATCTCGTCAGTACGGTGACAGATAAGCCTGAATTTGGTCGGCGGTCGAGAACGCTCGGCGGTGGAGAACGCTCCTCCTCAGAATTCCCGTCAATGAAATTGCGCTCAGGAATGTCTGATTGATTCTTGTCGAGGATGTTCAACAATAATGGAGAACGCTCTACTACTGTTTTGCAGGATCAGATCGGCACAAGGAGTCGGATCGGCTAGGAGCTGGATCAGTACTGGAAATGGACAGGCTTTTTTAGCGCGTTTATGCGTTTATATACGAATTGTTATTTCCGCTCGTATTGTTCCGGAATTGCTCAGCAATAAAATTCTCGCTAATGAACAATACGAGCGGGAGCAATATTGTTTCGGCGGGAGCAATATGTATTCGATCGATTCGACGATGCTCGGCGAAGCTGCTGCAACCTGTGAATTATTTTTGGTTTATTTAAAAAATAGACGGCCGCACCGCACTCTCACCACTGATCATCGGTCCGTAAGAGCATCCGGCTGGTGTTCGGCCGGGAACGATGTCTTTGCGGGGTGCGTCGTTACAAAATACACAGGATTTATGCGCTATTTATATTTACATAGTTTCAATTTTGACACTGCATCCGTTAAGCCACTTCCCTCTTGAAGCTTCTAATCCGAATAAATGGTGTTGGAGGTTTTTAGTAAACATTTTGGATATTAAAACATTTCATATGACATATTGCAGAACTCTTTCGGAATTGTTATTTATAAAATGTGAAAGGTTGAAACATTTCTGAAAACTTTCTGGAATAATCGGTGTTGTAAGGGCGGAAAACTTTTAACACTATATTTAATCGAAATTGCGACTTTTGGCATTTTCATTTCCGTCCGCTATATTGCATCAGTCATTTTTAATTTTTCTATTCTATAATGATTCAGCCATTTTGAATTTTAAAATTTTAAATTCGTATTCAGAATCACAGATTTTAAAAATCTGATGCTACATTTCATCAAAACCAAGCGTCTTTTAGCATTTCCGTCCGCCATATTGATTCAGTTATTTTAAATTTTCAAATTTGGGTTCCTATTTTCAAATTTTAAGTTCGGATTTAGCATTAGCATCTCCGAAATGTCTTTAACACCACATTTCGCTGAAATTGGAGAATTTTATTATAACATTTCCGTCCATTATATTAATTCAGTCATTTTGAATTTTCAAATTTTAAGTTTAGATTTGAAATCAGTGATTCTAAAAACCCTTTTACATTACATTTCGCAAAAATTGGAGGATTTTTAGCATTTCCGTCCGCCATATTTGTCCAACTATTTTGAATTTTCAAATTTTGGGCCTGGATTTGAAATCAGCAATCCCGAAAATTCTGTATTACTGCATTTCGCTGAAATCGGTAGACTTTTAATATTTTCGTAAAATTTCAACTCATCATATTGGTTCAGCTATTTTGAATTTTAAAATTTTGAATCCGGATTCGAAATCAGCGACTCCGAAAACCCTTTAATATTACATTTCACCGGAAACGAAGTACTCTAATAATCTCAATGAAAAGAGGCTTCAGGATATGTATAACACGGTAATTTTAAGATAGGACACAAAGAATTGGACTTCATACAAAAATTGTGAGAATCTTTGTTTTAAAAACACAGAATCTGAAATTCTATGGCTCGTTGGCTAGACAACGGTCTATTGATATTATATTTCAACAATTATTCAGGGTGTCTGGATTGTACGGCCCCACTCGCCCCGAGCAGGTAGAGCGGAAGTCGAAAAGTCCTGTACTATTTTGCAATGCTCGCAATAATTAAAGAGATATTAACATTTAAAGATAGTCAAATACGCGCGTTCGACCGGTCTATTATTGCCGAAGGTATGGCCCACCGAGCGCGAGCCGCGGGGAACGGGAATGGTCTAGCAGGCGCGCCGCGCCATTCGAGCTTAGAGGCTTGCGGCGGCGAGCGGAGCGCTTGCTCCACTATTCGCGCGACAAGCTATCGATGACGGATATTCGGCGCGTTAGAAATAATTCGATTGCGAAAATTGAGAAATGCTCAAGATCTGTTAGAAAAAAAACTCAATTTAGTTCATTCTGAAGCGTGCATATGTACGTACAAAAAAATGTTACGTAAATATTATTTGTTTCAAGTAAACAATAAGAGTATTTTAAAATTATATTATCAAGAAAATATTCTTTGTAATGATATAATTGTTACTCAAAAGAAGAAAAATAATAATTGCGTTCTCTTAGCATTAGCATAATATTTTTCTGCATTTTTTTACACTACCGCTCATGGAAGTTCAGACATCCGCATAAATTTCATTGAATGATCGTGTAAAAAATTAAGACATAAAACAGCAATTATATTATTTTTGGAATATATTTTAGAGATCACTTGTACACATACCAATTATAAAAGTTTTATAAATTATTTTTAATTTTATGTTGAATTAAAAATTGAATTACAAATATTTTATAAAGCTTTTTTGCTAGTCTATCCCCCACTTATGGAAATAGGCTGGCAACATACACCATAGCGTGAGCTTATATTTGTGTTCTCTGATCGAATTTTTGAAATTTATTAATTATACTATCAATGTTGTACGAAGTAAAGACAATATTTTCTTTTGACATACAAAATTAAAACTAATTTATAAAGCTTTTGCAATTGTTAGTATGTATTACATACAAGCGATTCAAAATATATTTTAAAAATAATACAATTGCTGATTTATAAAGTCTAAATTTTTTAAATAATTATTCGATAAAATTTATGCGAGTGTCTGAACTTCCGTGAGCAGTAGTGTATGTACACGAATAATAATCGTCGCATCTACACAGAGAAAGGTTCTTTCCATTCAAAAAAATGTTTTTTTTTCTGTTGAAGAAAAAAATTGATTAATTTGCTGTCAAAAAAAAAAAGAAAAATCCTTACTCGCGAGCTTACACCTAGAGAAAGATTTCTCCGATTTAAAGAAATGTTGCTTTGTCACACGATTAAAAAAAATTGTCTTTCATTTGAACAAAATGTTTTTAAATTGAATAAAAAATTCCTTT